CTCTCTCTCATACACACACACACACTCTCTCTCACACACACACACACACACACTCTCTCTCATACACACACACACACACTCTCACCCGAGCCGCCCGATCCGAAGCCGAAGCCTGTGGGTGCAGATGTCGTGGTCGCGCCTCCGAAGCCTGTGCCAGGAAGACCTGTAACCGTGACAACAGCTGGTGAGCGCCTGTAACCGTGACAACAGCTGATGAGCTCCTGTAACCGTGACAACCGTCTCAGCATAAAGCGGAGCATCTGAAGGAATGCTGGGAAAGCATGAACTTGTAAAGCAAAGGTCGTGGGTTCGAGTCTGGATACAGGTGGGAGTGATACAGCGCTCCTGATGTTATAAAACCTGATGTTATTGTTAGCAAGCGGCTGGCTATATTAGCATCTCACACACAATACTGACTGCAGGAACCTTCGGATGTTCATTCGTGTTTATTTCAGCGGGCGCAGGGATCTGTCACTCACATTAAACAGCATTTATTGTCTGAATATTGTAAGAAAATGGACAGAATATGAAATCTGAGACTTTCTTTCGTATCTAAAACATCAAAGCACAAAGCTAATTGGGATTTATTGGATGCGAGGCGATATAATGTTCCGTTCACTAACTGAGAACAGGCCAGACTAAGACTCGATATCGTCTTGTACAAATACAAATCGATATTTTAGCCAGCCCTAGTGATGACGTCACGAACACGACTGCGCCGCTGGATGAGGATGATTTACACGAGCAGCTTCATCATCTTCATCATCTTCATCAAACACGCGTCAGAGCTAATCGACTTCTGGCTGACTCCTCGTGTATTCATATATTCTGCAGCTTTCATATGAAACTATGAAAGCTCATCGGAACTGAGAAACAGAGTTTAATTGCACTCACTCGCGCCGCTGAAGTTGAACGCCATGTTTCCGGTCCCGCCGCGATACAGTCCGACCGGAAACAGAAACCGTCCACAAGTGGTTCCCACGCGCGCAGTCGCTGCTGACCGAGAAGTACACACGAACACAGCCCTGCGAGCCTGTGTCTGATGTCTGCGGGGGGTGTTCTAGTAAAGAGCACTGATGATGAAACACTGAGAAAACGAACAGCACTTTAATGAACTCAGTGTTTTCATTCGAATGGTTTTCTGTGTGAAACTTTGCACATTGCGCTTATATTCTGGCTTCATCTGCTTGCCTGCACAACATAGACATCATAAGATGTTTACCCACAGCCTCGTGCCCAAACCTAGCCCTCATCACTAACTGGCTGCATGCCTTCTCTGGCCTTTGAATGGTTCATTAATATCATCATGACATCTTTCCCAGTGTCTTCATCGTCTCCACAACCAGCAGCCGCATCATATATTGATGTACATCTAGTTTCTGTTATTGGATGACCTACTCCATAAAAACCCAACAAGAGAAACTTAATCAACAGCTACTATTACAGAGAAAGAGAGAGAGTTCAGCAGCTGCAGACTCGACAATATCAGACCAACAAGAGCTAACCGCTGCTGCACTCGCTGCCGTGCCAGCGCTGCCTTGATTTTGCAGAACTATTATATTCGTATAGAATGAGATGTAAAGAGCTGTGAACTACCGGAAGTGATCAGGTTTAGTTAAGAGTGGTCCGGACTAACCCAAGCACAGCAGCACTCACTGAAGGGGTCCCGAACTAAGCAGCTTTGGGGAAACACAGCCCTGCTCGTCACTGACGGTCTGTGTATTTTCTACGAAGCAAATCAAAATCAACACGTTTGAACATTAACTAAAAGTTTTATTAACATTGCATTGTTTACAAAACCAGCAGAAACACAAAGATGAACGTAAATCATCAGATGCTGAGCTGTTCCTCAAAAAGAGGCCAGTTCTAAAACACCTCACGTGGCTTAATGCATCAAAACAGCGTTTTCTGAACGACTAAACTCAATAGACTGCTAATAAATCACACTGTTTACAGACAAACAGATATGAGCCATAACACAGACTGAACGCGTTTAATTCACGACAAACGTTCAGACAAACTTGAGTTAGGTCTTTTAAAAACACTGTTTTCCTCGTAACGTTTTCTATGGGAGAAAAGCGCTTAATGTGTAATTAAACACGTTCAGTCTGTATTATGGCTCATATCTGTTTGTCTGTACATTATATGCTTTATTAATAATGTGTTTATGCATTATTAATCAAGCACAGTTTTAGTGCATTAAGCCACGAAGCGTTTTAGAATGGCCCAAAAGAGAAACCCTTCCTGAAGCAGAAGCAGAACCTCGGGTCTGGGATCAGATCTCTACAGCGAGGTTATCTCCGGGCCGTGCGCTTCATCTGCGTCCTCTTCTTCAGCTCTGTGAGGCGCAGCTTCTTCTTGGATCTCTGTGGTTCTGGAGGCTGCAGCTGGACCGCAGGATCTCTGGGCTCGGCTGGAGTCGAGAACACGTCGTCCGTCACGTCTCTGGCCAGCACCTCCTGCTCCTCCGAGCGCTTCTCCTTCAGGATCTGCTTCACCGTCTGCCGCTGCTTCTGCCGGGCCGCTGTGGCCTGTCGGATCACGCGCCGGTGCTGGACACACATCACACACAACACCAGCCTGAGACACGGTTTATTCACCACGTTTGACCGATTCTCCGTTTTTATGATTTTTAACTAGTCCACTTGAAAATGTAACTACAACATGATTCAGTAACTGGTTCTTTATTAACCCTCTAGTTAAAGACAATTCTACTTCCAGAGCAGCACACATGAAGCTGTCGACGTGATGTAAAGCACTTGTTTAATAGCTTTGCAGAAAAGATGCATGAACTACAGCTACATCTGGTCTTATACATGTTATATGTTCAGAAATAATACGAGGAAAATGCGTTCAGAAATGCTCAAAAGTCAAGGTAATTCAAATTCAAAACAGCTGAAGGAATAGCAGCAGTAGATTATTATTAACTATAAATGTTCTGTAAAACAGCAGCTTTCAGTCTGTCACCGTGATGCAAACATGAAATATCAGACACACAGTAGTAGTTACAGGTTTTTTATTCGCTTGTGCTGCTTTTCCATAGTTTGTTCTGTGTAAACATGGACGTGGTTGACGGCTGCGCTCGCGTCTCTTGCATGAAACGGTATTCTAGAGACACTGCGCTCAAGTTAAGAGAAGTTCACTCATCTTCTTACGTGTGTTTGCTCTTCCTCTGCCACGTCACATCTTTATCAACACAAAAGCTCATTCTGTGTGAATGGTGTCTCGTGATACGAGCGGTTTATCATTCTGTTCTCTTCACTGTTATCATTGGCATATTGACAGTGTCTAATTCTAACGTTTGGTAACATTTCTATTCACAATCACGATACTTTGATTTCTAAAAATTAAATCATGGCAAAACATTAAATTCGAAGTAAATGATCAAATGTGAAGAATGTCCCAGGCCTAGTGAGGAAGAGCGCGGTGCTGAAGAGTCTTACCATGTTCGGAGACTGGAAGTGAGGGTTCTCGTACAGCGTGGGTCCGCCGAAGCTGCCCTGGAAGACTTTGATGAGATTCAAGACGAACCGCGGGCCGATCTCCACCAGAGACGCGTCTTCTTCGATGATCTGCGGACGACAATCACAGAATCCTTCAGAAACTGCGGCTGACGCAAACAGCCTGGCGCTGGAGCTGCGCTGCTCACCTGATAGTTCCTGAACCAGATCCTGTGCTCAGCGATGGTGAAGCTCAGAACGTGATCCACAAACGGCTGACTCTTCGGGTGATACCGAGGCGTCGAGAAGATCTGCAAGAACCACACTCGAGCCGTCAGAACGTGTTCAGTAATTATGAGCCGTGCGAGGAAATTACACACGCATCAGTGTTCAAAATGAACGTGTCTGAAAGCAGTCAGTGTTTCTGTTAATCGGTTTCTCAGCACCAGTGCTTTAATAATGAACGAGGAGGATCAAACACAGTGGGCTGAGAATGTATTACTACACATCCTCTCCAGACACTTCACACACACACAGGGCGTGATGTGCACATAATTCAGTCATTCTGCAGCAAAAAATTAAAGAGGGATCAATGTTGAAATAAACCTGAGTGAAGAGCTCCTTCAGCAGCGCGTAATGCGGCTCCTTGTCAAATTTCTATGAAATGACAGACAAACATCATCATCATCTTCATCATCATCATCAGTTGCACACGCGTGTGATCTGCAAGCGTGTTCCACTCACCGGGTCGAAGGACAGCAGCGGTCTGGAGCCTTTCAGACAGTTTCCGGTCATTTTCAGCTCAGCCAGAGTGTGAACTACAAACACAAAATCAGTCATCGTTACATCGAAACAAGAGTTCAGTGATAATGCGGCTCCTTGTCAAATTTCTATGAAATGACAGACAAACATCATCATCATCTTCATCATCATCAGTTGCACACGCGTGTGATCTGCAAGCGTGTTCCACTCACCGGGTCGAAGGACAGCAGCGGTCTGGAGCCTTTCAGACAGTTTCCGGTCATTTTCAGCTCAGCCAGAGTGTGAACTACAAACACAAAATCAGTCATCGTTACATCGAAACAAGAGTTCAGTGTGAAGTCATTTCAGAACTCAAGACTTTCTCCTCAGTCTCTAAAAACAGCAGAACTGTGACAGCTCATTAACATAATCACCCACATCTACATCAATCATGCAGCAAGCTGAGCCAATCATGCAGAGCTCATTTACATACAAACATCCTAAAGGCCCAGCTGTTTAATTAAGAGAGAGGAATGAAGAAGAGTTGAATAAATGACAACTGTTGGATTCACACAACATTAGCAGACCAGTCGACTACAGTGAATAAACTGACATTTAATCATTATTAATATAAAAAGCACACATGACATGATCTAGTCTAAGCTTGTCAAATAACTGAATGAAAGAAATCACACCGTTCTGTACGAGGAACTTGGCCGACGGTCCGTGAGGGACGTTTGAGATCCTGTAAGAGAAGAGCAGACGAGATCTCAGCACACACCGCTGACTCATGATGAGCATATTATTATTATTATTTCTTACGTCTCACTGACATGTCGCTCACCACATATAAAGATCCTGTTTCTTCTTGGCTTCAAAGAAGATGCATTTATTGCAGTTTTTGATTTCACACACCTGAAACACAGCAGCCGTTAGAATCAGACATCAAAGCCCGAATCACGAGACTACAGAATGCTTTCTGTTCAAGTACCTCGTTCACCACAAAGAGCTTGTCTTTTCTGTCCATCTTGGTGTCTGGAAGAAAACAAAGCCAGAGTGATATTTGGTTGATTGTCTGGTTAGTGCTGGTTTAGCTGGTTAGTGCGGCCGGTCTGATGTGGTTTACCAGCTTTGCTGTGTGGCATCATGGTCCGCAGATCCATCATCAGGTGCCTCGTCCTGAAGCTGATCCCACGAGAAGAAAACACCAACACTCGCTCCTTATTCGTCCATTTGCCCTGAAGAACATGAATATGAATAAGATTATACACATGACACTGGTTTACACTAATATACACACACACCAAAATACACACACACACCTAAATACCACAATACACACACACACAAAAAATACACACACACTGGATATTCCGTGTAGTTTAACGCGAGCGTGTGTATATTCCGTGTAGTTTAACGCGAGCGTGTGTATATTCCGTGTAGTTTAACGCGAGCGTGTGTATATTCCGTGTAGTTTAACGCGAGCGTGTGTGTATATTCCGTGTAGTTTGACGTGAGCGTGTGTGTATATTCCATGTAGTTTAACGTGAGCGTGTGTGTATATTCCGTGTAGTTTGACGTGAGCGTGTGTGTATATTCCATGTAGTTTGACGCAAGCGTGTGCGTATATTCCGTGTAGTTTGACGTGAGCGTGTGTGTATATTCCGTGTAGTTTAACGCGAGCGTGTGTGTATATTCCGTGTAGTTTGACGTGAGCGTGTGTGTATATTCCATGTAGTTTGACGCAAGCGTGTGCGTATATTCCGTGTAGTTTGACGTGCGCATATTCCGTGTAGTTTGAC